TTCTAATGTCATTCTGCAGAATCTGAACTCCTGATAAAACTCTAAGACTCAGTCTTTTAGCTCAAAGTTCAATTGGTTTTTGGATGCCCTTAGGTCCAATTGCCCTTTTACATGGAATTTTTATTGTTAATCTTCTATTATTGGGGGAATTATTTTGCAAACAGACCGACTCAATTGCTTCAAGCTCTGAAACCTGTCAGGCTAGCTTTTATTCTGATTGCTTCTGATAAGGAGCTTTGGTAAGAATGCTGTGCCTCCAGCAAGTTGAGAGACTCACCTTGGAGGGGAACAGCTTCAAGGTCCCAGGGAACGTATGGCGCTCTCAGCTTGTCATGAAAAGGGAAACTAGGGGTTGAAAATCAGAGTCAAAACTTTGAATTAGATGAGGAGCTGCACTGCAAACCAGTGGAAATGGCCTGTGTTATAAGCCGAGTCTCTTTTCCCTGCATAATGACGACTTGAAGTTTGTTACAAGAGCTGGGGTCACTGCGTTGCTTTCCACGTGTTGACCGTAGGAAGGTATGGATCCCTGCTGTGAACCCCCGCAGGCGCTGTGCCCATGGGGAGCCACGCAGCATCTACAAACTTTGGCAAGACCCTTTGCCTCTTTTCCATTGCTTGTGTGCATGGGACACAAACTAAGTCTGATCTGTGCCAGGCACGGATCTGACACATACAGTACCTCTGTCCTAGCTGAATGGGAAGATACTGGTAGGTGATTTGGAGTCAAGCTGAGGAGACATCTTGGGACCCATACTCTGAAGCAATTTTATTGTCCAACCTGACCCTTTTTGAAAATGAAATAAAAATAAAAAGACAACATTTTAGAAGACATATATTATGCTTTTCCTTTTCCTCAGTGCCAGCTACCTACTAGTAGGAAACAGTACAATCTTGTAGTGGGCAAGGAGATGCTTAAAGGACAAGTCTCTCCTTTTAAGACCTATGCAAGAAAAAGTATTTTCAGCACTGTTGCATAATGTAAGTATTAAGAAGATTTGCTATAATTCCATTTCAAAGGGCTTATAGTAAGTAAATATTTTTCTGTATTGTCCTTAGTGTTGTCTCTAAAACTTACATAAAAAGTGTCTGTTTGCTAGATGGAGAGCAGGGCCTTTCTGAGAAACCCTTCTGCAGAAGCACATCGAGTATCATTTGCAAAAGGCCAAGAAGGGGCTGCTGCGTTTCAGTGCAGCTGATCAAAGGGGGGCTTCAAAAGGATCTTCGTTCCTAGAGCATTCTTCTAAATTGTGTGTGCAGATTTTGTTGTGCTGCTTATGAGAATTTTGTTAAAAGCCAAAGCAAACTTCAGACCCTCTTTTGTATTCATGTGAAGTGTTACAGAATGATAGCATTTATTCCTTTGGACAGAAAATCTTTCCTGTAGCAAGTTTGTTTGCTTGTTCTTTTTCTTTCAAACAGTGTGAGCTTACTCAGTTTTGTTTTGTTTGTGTGTGTTTTGGGTTTTTTTTTTTTACCTTGTTCCCAGGGAAGGATAGCTTTCCACTAACACAGAGAGTTCTGTTTTCTCTCTTAAAGACAACTGCCCTCAAGTGGAGTAGGCTTTGTATTTTGTCCTAGAAACAGAGCTTTTCATTCAGAGATAAGGCCTCTCTGCATTTAGGTTCCTCTAGTCACCTGACGGAGCCATTGGTAACTTTTAGGCTGCTTTAGTCTGCATTCCTGAAATACCTTACTCCTGGCACTGCAATTAACAGCTTCAGGTTCACTGCTTGCCACCCGATTCCCCGGCTTTCCACTTGCCGTGCCCTCAGATGCTGCCCTCGGTAGCAGGAGAGCAAAGCAAATGGTCAGGCTTTGTGTCCAAGGACACAAGCTTTGCACCTGTAACCATCATTGAGGATGTCGTTGTGGAATCGTGAACAGGTAAAAAAAATCAGTTTGTGTCTGCGGCTTTTTGAACTTTTATTTTTGAATCTGAGAATTGCCGAGTAGGAGTATGATGGGCCCAATATCCTCTGTACTTCCACCATAACCCTCAGTTCGGTGACTGGTGATTTAAGCCATGGCAACTGTCAGGAGGATCTAGCCTGTGCTTCAGGGTTTGCAGTCTTAGCTGTTTTCCGCTTCTGTCTTGTTGCAAATAATCAAACTGAAAGTCCTGTGTAATGATATTGATACATTTGGGAACATAAAAAAACCTTACAATCGGGTTTATGGCAGATCAAGTGCAAGGTGCTGTCTATGCTATTAAAATAGAAATTTTGTTGATTTGTTTCCAGAAGGTTCTCGGTGTTTTGCATTGGTTTTGCCCCTTCTTTGACATTTTGCTTTTTTTTTTTTTTCTTTGAATAGCATAAGATAGAGTAACAAGGATTAAGGATACTCTGCTAATTATAACTGATCTAGTTTGTGACAATGTAGTACTTTGTTCATCAACTCAAGAGAAGAATCTAGAGGTGTGAATCCACATGGGCCACCTGAAGACATGCTTGGTAGATCTCTTCCTAGCCTCAGAATCAGTAAGTGTTCTTTGAGATGAATAAGTGAAGAGAGGGAAAGGTTTTCTTCATGACATAGTGTTTGTATTTTAATATATGTTCTCATGTCAAGCTACTCCTGGGTTAGATACGCATCTGCACAGAGCTTCCTGCAGGCTGCCACGTGCTTCAGCGGGCAGGCAGCAGCAGGCAGGAGCTCTCTGCCTGCCCCGCTAGGCATGTGCCATTGGGGTGACCACTGCTATAGCAGGTTTATCCAATGCAAGCCTGCGTGGAAAACGTGGTGACGTCGGAGTCTCTAATTTGTCACACTTACCCAGTCGCTTCAGAGCCTCGTTCAGATTATGAATAGCATATTTTTCATAAGATTCCCTCTTCTCCTATATTTTACTTCAGCTAAAATATGTCAAATCTCAGACCTTTCTCTTTCCTCTATGTAAAGCTACAGGGAAATTTTACTGGTTGGAAACACAAACTAGGTCATTTAAGTGATGTGCACAAACAAAGGCAGACAGATCCAGTTATAGCAACAGCTTTTCCAGTGCATGACATTTGAAGGTAACCCAAACTCTTGAATAAGTAAGTGAGTATCATATTTAGTGTATGCCTACCTTAATGCCATAATTTTGTCAGCTAGATAGCTGTGTATCTGTTGTGTTCCTGCAAAGACAGCCACTAGTGGCTAAGCGAAAATTTTAGATTGTTGCATACTTAAAGAGCATACATCTATGCATCTAGATTATATGTATGTCCTTTACATTTACATATGTTCACTTCAGAAAGCAATTTTTATTCACAAAACAGCAACTAACAACAGCCTACTTAGCAGTTTCTCTGGATGGTGCTGTGTTTATCTCCACACGCTTCATTACGGAGAAAATCTTGATGCTGTGAAAGATGTTGGTGTTGAAGGATTCAGAACATTCACTTTTGTACTAAATGATGGCCAGCAGAGGTTAAAGCTAAAGCGAGTTTGAGGTGACTGTTGTGAGGTTGTTGAGCTGTGCAGCAGCTCCCCGGGGCACAGAGGCATTCCCATTTGTAACCTCTCCTGTCATGTGCATCTGAGCTTATTCGGGCCTATGTGCTATGCGTCTTTGTGTCCCTTTTGGCTGGCAGAAGCCCAGTGTGCTTCTGGCCAGCGCGGTTGCTATGAGTGCCAGTGAATGTCCTCTGCGTGGCTCACCCCTTTCTCAGTAGGGTCTCGAACAGCAGGCTCTTCCACTGCCCAGCTTCCCTCATAGCTCTGCCTGAAGTGCTAGCAGCCTATGGAGGGCCCTGCAGTTAGAGGTGCTCTTTGGGGCTGAAAAATTATGGCTTGCTGGGTTTCTTTGTAGTCATGAATAGTGTTTTGTGGGAAAGGATGGAAGAAATGCAATGCAGTCAGGAGCTGAGGGAGGATGGCCTGCCCTTGTCCTGTTCCTACTGGTAGGGCCATCATGGAAACCACTGGAAGACTCAGGGACGGACATTTTCTTCTTGCATGGATTTGTACCTGCCTTGGTGAAGTCCAAGGAGGGTGTCCAAGCCCCACGGGATATTCTGGGCCTGAAGGATCCTGTGCTATTTGTCCATTCTTCATGTGCACTGAGGTTGGCCATGAAGACCCTTGCTTCAAAGGTGTATGAGCAGAGGGACCCATAGCATGAGGCAAGTCCTGGCAGTCTTGGAATAACAAATAACACTTCTGAAATGTGGAAAAAATAAATTTCTCCTATAATTAAGGCAAACGTCTCCTCTGTGGATGCTTTAAACACCAGAGTTTTGGAGCACAAGTGCCGGACTGTTTTCTTTCATGAGTGTGTGCGTGGTGCTGAGCCCGGCCCCCCTTGGCTTGGCTTCTGTTAAATGCCCCAGCCAAGAAGTGCATAGTTTCAGCTCAGCCAAGTGTTTGTTTTATGTGAGTTGAAAAGACTGCAGGGATCATTTTGGCAACAAAACTGACTGTTTTTCTAAACAAAAATCATTATCTTCTCAATCTTGCTAATAGTGTACTTCTAGACTCAAGACACAACAACCCAGAAAACAAACGAAGTGGCTTCACCCGCCTCCTCTAGCTCCATTCTGCTACTGACCACAGAAAGACAGTTTGTAATCTCCATCAGTTAGTCCAGTCACCATCCTGCTCAGGTGATACACGTTGAAAGGACAAAAACTTGTTCTTATTTATTAGAAGTTATGCATTGTTTAGCTAGTTTTAAGCTATTTAGTGTTTGAGGGCAAAAGGTCCTTCAACATGCAGTTTGTGGTACGTCCTTAAAGATGTCCCTGGATCAGGGGATCCTGTATGCTGCTTACATATACCATTTAAAATTCTTTGCTAAATTGGAATATGACAGTCAATGAATTTGCTAACTCCCCCCTTCTTTTTTTTTTCCTTTTAGATTGGGGCCAAGGAAGTCTTGAAATATGCCCCAGATTTAGTCATTACATTAAACTGATCACTAGTCCACAGGATTGTTTCCATTCTGTCCTCATCTGAGTCATTCATGCACATGGTGCAGGCAGAGGTCTGGCTGAGTGGCAGTGAATGCAGCCATGCATCATCTGTTTGGGCTGGTTTTGGCACAAAAGGACCTTTCACGTGCAGGGGATCTTTTCTCCTTAGAGGATGCTGAAATCGAAGGATGCCTCTCAGAAGCTCTTGAACAAATAAGAATAATTAGTTCATCTGTGGTAAGTGAAACACTGTTCCTCAATAATTTTTCATGAGATTGTGTGTTGTATAAATAAAATATTAAAGACAGGGACATACACAATTTAAGTTTCTAAAAAAGCCCTCAAGAATGCTGAGCAACATATAGGATTTGAAAATGTGGTAACCAAATCCAGTTCCCACTAGCTTGATTTCCTTTAAAGAGATTTCAAGTTAATCTTTATTGTAGTTTTTATCAAATGGTTATTTAAGGCATATTAAAGACTAACAGGAGGTTACAGGTACACTGTACATAGTGTGTATTCTGTTTGCAGCAGGAAGTGTTCTGAATGGTGGTAGGCTCACTGATTCTGGTAGACGCTTTAATACTGTTGTCCAAAAAAACCCCACAAAACACAACTCTTTATCCTTCCTGCTTCCAGTTTGCTGAAGGAAAGGGAAAATCTTTTTTGAGCCTTAGGTTATTCAATTAGCAACATGTACATGTTCTCACAACTGCACTTTTCTGGCACTTCATAATAGCATGTGATTTTTAGAAATCAATTTTGGCAATGTGCAAACCTCCGACTCTCAGACCATTGATCATGATGTTGCCGGTTGTGAAAAGAACTGACTCATCCATCAGGACAGCCACTGTACACTGGCTCTTCTTTTGCCATTTCTTTGACAGCAATTACATATGGACAGTCTTTCAGAACATTAATCAAGTTATCTTCGCCATTGCCTCCGCTGTTTGTGACATACTTCGAGTCACCTAAGTGTAGGTTATCAGGAATTTTACACAAATTCCCCCTAATATACACTTTTGAGAGAAAATGCCTGAGTTCGCTACAAAATGTTTTCACGAACGCACCAGTCTGCATGAAGCAGCTAGAGCATCCTGCAGAGCCATCCTCACCTCCCAGCTGCTGAGCGGCCGTTCCCACCAGAGGGCTCCGGAGATCAGGGAATCACAGGAGGGTTTGGGCTGGCAGGGACCTGCCAAGGCCACCTAGTGCACCCCCCGCCGTGAGCAGGGACGTCCCCAACCACAGCAGGGTGCTCAGAGCCCCGTCCAGCCTGACCTGGGGTGTTCCCAGGGATGGGGCATCCACCACCTCTCTGGGCAACCCGGGACAGGGGTTCACCACCCTCACTGTCAAAAATTTCTGCCCTCTTTTAGTTTAGAACCGATAACCCTTGTCCTGTCGCTACAGCCCCTGCTACAAAGCCCGTCCCCACCTTTCTCCCCAGCCCCTCTCAGCCCTGGAAGCTGCAGGAAGGTCTCCCCGGAGCCTTCTCTGCTCCAGGCTGAGCCCCCTCAGCTCTCCCAGCCTGTCCTCCCAGCAGAGCTGTTCCAGCCCGGGAGCATCGCTGGGGCCTCCTCTGATCAGGGAGCTGCTCCAGAGTGGCCCCAGGCCCCTTGCCTGAGCAGTCTGGATTTGACATGTGTTTTTCCCCAAACGTGGGGAGTTTCACAGCAGTGCCGAGAGGACTGCTCTGCTCTCCATGTCCACGCACAGCCACTGACCGCGACTCGCCAAGGGTTTGCTCTTATGCCGTCCCAGCCGGCGGCTAACTTGATCACCTCTTTGTCAATAGGTAACGTTAAACGTAAGAAAAAGCGTGTTTTCTTTTTTTTAATAAGTGCATGGATTTTTTTCTGTCGTGCCAAGCAAAGCTTGTAGAGGGCTCGCTGTGAAGAAAGGCAGAGAATTGTTCTGCAGCAGACCCGAACGTCGTGGTTGTGCCTGTGATATGCTGCCATGCCACACTGCAGCGCGGAGCCCCCGGGGCTAACTCTGCAGCTGCGCTTCTGCAAGCTAGTGCTGACCTTGCTCCAGCCCTTTAAAAGTGACTATGCTTTATCTAGTAAAAACAATGCCTTTTGATGAATACTTCAGTCTGTCTTTTTTCTTTGTTACTTTTTAGGGTGGAAGAGCATAGGTTAGACCAAGGGACGATGGTTGTGTATTCTGAGTCTTTTAATTTAGGGTGAAGTGCTGCCATTTCACATCCAGATGGCATCTATGTCAGTGACTACAGGGGAATACAGGATTTTGTGATAAAGCCTATTTAATTAACTTTTATTCATGTTACGTTGATACTAATTGAAACTAACTGTGTTTACATAGGGGACATCACATGATGTGAAATACTTGGGACCCTGCATTTGCTGTATATATATTGTGGATGTAACAATTCCAGCTTCAGTTTTAGGACAGTTATGGGAGGCCTGTGTGAGTGGTTCTAAGCTGTGGTCCTAAGCTGCAATCCCTGGTCAAGAAGGCCATGCTTCAAGACAGACCACTAAAAATAATTTGATAACATAATCCATACCTTTGCAATAATGAGGATTAAGACCTAGACCACTGAATTGTGTATGGGATAACTAATTTCTGTGTTTAACAATCACGCTAAATGTTCGTTGTAAAGGTGAAAGTGAGAAAACGGACGTGGGACAGTTACAAAAACGTCACGTCATCAGGCTAATTTTGTGGGGTCCTTCAAAAGGATGGGCATTCATTGGTAGATGTCTTTGCATTTGAACAGGACTACCAGACCAATGACAATGACCAGGCTGTGGTGGAAATCTGCATCACTCGCATCACCACTGCCATCAGAGAGACAGCGTCCATAGAAAAGCACGGGAAAGCCCTCGTGGCTCTCTGGGAGTCATGTCTAGAACACAACCTGAAGCCTTCTGGAAAAGATGAGGACACACCACATGCAAAAATTGCATCCGATATCATGAGCTGTATCTTGCAGGTGAGACTGAGCTGAAAGCAAGGGAGTGTAATGCTCTGGGTGGGAGCATTGGAATAACTTCTTAGAGTATTTTACTAAATGTTAGAGGCAGCAACAACAATACTGAAAAAGTATTTAGGTCCCAAAAACATTTGCTAGAACAGCAGCTCAAGTTGGGTCCTATCTGAGCTCAGCAGTCTATGAACTATCGCTCCCTGTGAGTGCAAGACGAGTAAGAAGACATCTCAGTATATGGCCATCTTTTGGGGATAGGAATGAGCTAATGCAAGGCTTTCTAAGGAAGTAAGCTGAGGATGAAAAGCCATTTAAAAGGCCGGGGAGGGGAAATCTGGTATTAAATCAGGGTGGTTTGGAGTTTTTTTGGTTTTGTTTGTTTGTGGGTTTTTTTGGGTTTTGGTTTGGTTTTGGGTGGTTTTTTAGCCAGGGCTGCAGGCAATACCACTCCTAGTTAGGAAAGCTAAATAATACAATGGAGAGGCCCACAGAGAAACGTATGTGCCCAGTTATCTAACTGGAAGCAGAAATCAGGGTTGCTTCCAGAGGTTCAGCTGTGGGTACAGTTCATGGGGACCAGCTCCATGTCAGGTGGAGAAACACTTGCTATGAAGTGCCTTTCTCTACAGACTACTCTGGGGTGATGTTTGCAGTATGTCTGCTGTTTCATAGGGTTTTTTCTTTGCCTCTGCCTCTTATATCAGATGTGGGGGTGGGTTTTTTTGTTCTTTCATTATAAAAATTCAAGCAATAGTAGCACAAGTATGTCACTGACCCATGAAAGGTACTGCTTAGCCCTTTGCAGGGTGTATTTTTCCAAAGACTGACTGAGATTCCTCATCTAGTTTGGCTGCAAGTGTTTAAAGGCCAAAAGAAACAAAGTTTCAGAAAAAAGAACATCAATGCTGAATTTGCTTCCACGAAATTTTACTTCACATGGTCCATTCTATTTACCCCCCCGTTTGTCACACTGAAGATGCTCAAAAAAAGTGTATTACAGCAAAATATTAAAAGAAGGAAAAAACCTCCTTTTCTGAAGCCCACCTCGTTCCCGGAGGTGTTGCCTAATCTCCCTTTCTGTCTTGTGTCACTGGAGGTGAGACGGTAACTGGATTTGGATACCAGCAGCAGCACAGCTTAGACTTTCCAGATGAGAGACTGTACATTGTAAAATCATATTTTGTCTTTGCAGTACTTTAGAAATCCTATTTCATGAGGATACTGAAGTATGCAATGGCTAGTCTAAGCTTTCAATTTGTGCTGTTGGCAACTCTGTGCCTAAATCAAGCTAGCTCATATCCGAATGTTTTAGGGATTGCACTGTGGTAGAGATTATTTCAAGAAAGGAGTTCATTGAAATGAAATGAGAAAGTTATGAAAATACATTTACTGCTCCCTGAAACAGAGCTATTATCAGCAAGTTCCTTTGCATAAAAAAAGAAGGCAGGCATAAAATGAGTTTTTATACAATATGTGAGGGGTAGTTGAAGTAGTAATGAATATCTGACAGCTGGGTTGAATCTTACAGCATGTTTCTGTTGATATTAGCAGCAGGGAGGTCCCTTATGTTTGCAAACATCACTGTATCGCATTATTGAAATCTGTTTTTCATTGTCACCTTCACATTTTCATAAGTGTGCATTCATGCCCTGATATTTATAATGGAACAAATGAAACCGTTCTCCTTCCATCTGAATTCAAACCTTTTCTTAATGAAGTATTTTATCTTTATTGTAGGGAA